GTATGGCCACAGCTGGGAAAAAAAAAGCAGGATTTCAATCAAAATCCCCAGGCGGAGGGCTGCCGGCGCGGGGATGGTGCACCCCAAAATTTCCCCCTCCGAACCAGGCTGGGGGCAGCTCCGTCCCCAAGCCAGAGGTTCCGGCAGGGATTTAGGGCAGGGAAAGCCCTTTGTAGGGGAAAGGAAAAAATAAATAAATAAAAAATAAATTAAAAAAGGGAAAAAGGAGAGAACACTACTCCTCATTCATCCTCGGCAAAAGCCTTTCGTGTGATGGCAAATCAGTTGATTAACCCAGGATCGGCCCCTGTAAATCAGAGCTTTGTTGGGGAGGCTGAGCGCCGTGCGCCAGGCACCTTCCCCCAGTCCCCCCAGTCCTCCCAGTCCTCCCAGTCCTCCCAGTCCTCCCAGTGTCCCCAGGCAGGTGCCATCACCGCCGGGGGTCCTGGGGTGGGTGGCAGCGGGTCCCCATGGGGTGCCGGTGGGGTGATGGGGCGCCGCCGCCCTGCCTGGGGGTGGCACCCAGGGGGTTTGGGTGGGCTCAGCTTTTTTTTGTCCCTCTTTTTTGGGGTGCAGAGGGTTGGGGGGGGCCCTTTGGGGCCCGCCGCAAGCAACCAGCCAGGGGTGGGGCTGCCACGGGGGGGGCTGCCCAAACCCCAGCGCGCCCAGTGCGCCCAGTGCGCCCAGTGCGCACAGTGCCGGCGCTCCCAGTTGCCCGCAAGCCCCGGTGGCTGCGCTCCCAGCGCCTCCCAGTGCCTCCCAGTGCCTCCCAGTGCCTCCCCAGCCCTCGGAGGTACCTGCAGGCGGCTGGAGCTGCCCCGGCTCGCCGGGGGGAGGACAGACGGATGGATGGAGGGATGGATGGAGGGATGGATGGAAGGATGGAGGGAGGGATGGAGGCAGCAGGAGGGGTGGTCAGCAGCAGCCCGGAGCGCCGAGTCCCCACCCAGCTTTGTCTGCGCTCATCCCTCTGCCTACAGGAAGCGGCTCGGCCCCGACTTCCTCCTCCTCCTCCTCCTCCTCCTCCTCCTCCTCCTCCTGCTGCTGCTGCTCTCCCTCCCCTCCCCGCCCCTCCGACCCCCCGTTCGCTGCGCATCGCTTTTCTGCAAGACCCCGCTGCGCCCCAGCCTCCCCTTCCCTCCCTACCCCTCCCTCCCCTCTCCTCCCTTCCCCTCCCTCCTGCCCTGCCCTGCCCCACAACCCCCCCCCTCCGCCCCACACCGACCCCACAACCCCCCCCTCCTGCGCCCTGCACCCCCATCACGCCCCCCATCGCCTCCTGCACCCATCCCACCCCTGCACCCATCACATCCCCCGGCACCCCCAATCCAACCCCCCCAGACCCTCAGCGCTCCCCATTTTGTATTTCCTTTTTCAGCTCTTTAAACCCAAACGCCCAGATTTTAAGATTAGGATTTTTATTTATTTATTTTTTTTAGGATTTTAGCAGCTGGCGAGCACCATCGGGGTTTTTATAAAACCTTTTTCTTTCCCCCACCCGCACCCCAAAACAAGCGCTGATGTCCCAACTGCAGGTCCCTGGCTGACCCCACAGATCTGTTTGGGATCCCGAGGAGATCCCGGGCATGCAGCAGGATCACAGATCCCACAGGAGACACGGGGGCGAGGTGCCGGGGGGGTGCTCCCAGTGGCACTGGGCACCCAGTGGCACTGGGTTGATTTAGGGGATGCCTTTGGCAGCCCCCTGGCAGAGGCCGGTGCCATTTGGGGTACCGCAGCTCTCCCAGCCCCACAATGGGATCTGTGGGTCCGTGAGCGTCTTGTGTCCCCCCCGAAAAACCGGGGGCCCCCAGTGGCCTCCCCGTGCTCCGAGCGCGTTTCCTGCAAGGGAGGCGATGGGCTGCGAGAAAATGGGTTTTCCCCCCGTTTCCACAGCAACGCCGATGACTGATTTCCGAGGCTGCCCTGCAAGCACCGCACGGCACCCGCTCAGCCAGCACCCGGCACCCCAAAAGGCCTGGATCTGACCCCCCAGGGGAACACCCAGCACCAAAACCCCACACCGAGCGGGGGGCGCGGGGCTTTTTGCCCTTTGCAGGGCGTTTTGCGCCGGGCTGTCTCCTTAAATCAACACGGTTCACCTCCAAAGCGCTTCTCCTCTTGGTATTTGATTTTTTTTCCCCTTAAATCCAGTTTTCCCAGTTTTTTTTTTTTTGGCTTTTGAGCGTAACCAGTTCCACGTCGCCCCGTTGCGCGGTGCTCCTGGCACAGCAGCGATGGCAGGGGGTGCGAAGCCTGGAGGAGAAGCAGCTCCTGGAGATGAAACTCCAACCTCGCAGCGAAAGCTCGAACCTGTGAAATTGGAAAGCTGGCGGCTGCCGGCACCGGGGGCACGAGGGCGGCCCAAAAAAGAGCTTGGAGAGGGATGGGAGCTGGAGGAGCCCTTCCCCTGGAGCTCCCCCCATGGGGACAAAGCCCCCTGCATGGGGACAAAGCCCCCAGATGCCTTCGGGTGGCACAGGATCCGTGGAAAAGCGCTCGCCGGGCGCAGCCTGCAGGAGGGGAGAGAGCTGGCTCTGCCCCAGCCGTGGGGCTGCCGCCCGCTGCGCTGCCAAAATAAAAAGGATTCGACATCTGGTTCGAGGAAAAATGTCGGTTTTTATAGGCCGGCGATGGAATCTGGAGGCTATACTTAGCAGCACGCAACGCCGACCCCTCCAAAAATGTCATGCACTGCGTCGTGCTCGTCCCTCCTGCACGAGGCTGCTCCGAAAATGCAGCAGGGAACCACGGAAAGCCCACAGGGACCGGTGCCCACCCGCTGCCTCCTCTGGGCACGTTCCCACCAAGGCCAAGGGTTATTTCTGGGGACAAAGGGGGTCCCTGGTACACACAGGGCTCCCCACGCAGGATGGGGCCGGGGACGCGGCCACAGGATGGCAGCAAATGCCACCGCTTGGCTGGCAGCAGCGGGCAGGGGACAGGGCAGGGGGACAGAGCTGGGGACCCCCCCCCAGCCTCTTTTGCCCTCTGCCTTCCATCCCTTCTTCGATCCTCAAATCGCCACGAGCCAAGGGGATGCAAACAAGGGGCACTTTTATTGTCACCTCCGGCCGCACCGCACGAGGCGCCCGACAAACCTCTTCGTTACACAGAGCACACGGCGCTGGGGTTTTGGGGCCGTTTTACTCGGGTTTGGCTTTCGCCACACCGTCACTCCGCTCTCACCTCGCCCTGCCAGGAGGCTCCTTTCACAGAAAGGACCACGCAGCTCGTGCACGCGGCCACCTCGGTGTTGCCGAGGGACCAGCACCAACCTCAGAAGGCCACCGACAACCCCATAACGCCCCATCCCACCCCACACAGCGGTCCCGGACCCGTGCGGCACCCTCTGCACCCCACAGCCCCCGGGCACATGTGGGCCTCTCACCCCGCACCACTGCCAGCGACCCTGCTTGGTGCTTGGTTTTGGGTTTTGGGAGCTGCTCTGGTTCAGTTTTGGCTGTGGGATGCAGTGGGGAAAGGGACAGTGAGGCCTCGAGCTTGCCACTATCCCCCCCCCATGCTCCTTCATCACGAATTTGCGCATTTCGTGCCCAAACGGCGCATGCTGCAGCCTCGCAGGGAAGGGGAAGAGGCCTGGGATGAATTTGGGGGATTTCCCGACCCCCTCAGCACACCGTAACCCACCCAGGGACGGTGGCTGCCTGTAGCAAACCCCAGCCCAGGATGCGGTGTCACAGCCATCCCTCGGCCTTTTGGGGTCCCCAAAAACCGACGCAGGGCCCTGAGCCCCCACGCAGCATCCCACCGCTGCCTTGGGTGGGTTTTGGGGGGATTTCCACGGGGTCCCCAGCCTCCTGCTGGCGTCCCTACATCATTTTCCCATAACACACATCAGTCCCACCGTGCCCACCCCTCCCACCCAGCAATAACCCCGAATTTTTGGCACTGTGCCGACAGCTCCGCTCCGCTTTTTTTTTGGTACCGATCCCCCCCCCCAAAATCTGAACATTTCTTAGAAAAATAAGATTGTGCTTATTTATAAAATATTCTTTTTTTTTTTTCTTTTTTTAAGAAAAGTTTCCAGTTTTAAAAAAAAAAAAAAGGCGGTAATATCAAAACAGGGTAAAACTTTGGCTGTCGACGGCTAAACCCTCGTTGTGCCGCGAGGACGCGCTGCCCCGGCGCTTTCCCCTCCTTTGCACCTTCCCGGGGATGCTCTCCAAAAAAAAAAAAAAAAAACGAGGTGCCTTTTCCCAGCACGTGGCCACCGTCCTTTGGCAGAGCCGTTCGAAGCGTAAAAGCCTGAAGGGCGCAGGGAAAGCCGTGTTCAATCGGAGCTTTCTCCTGGCTAGGAAAGTCTCTGAGTGCTTGGAAAACAAAAAACAATCTGATTGTCTGTATGCTTCGTGAAAGGAAGGCGTATCCTTTGTCCAAAAGGCATTTCAGCGCAGAAACAAACTGAAACTGGGTCTGTGGGATCCGGACATATATAAACATTCGTACTTGGATATATTTATATATGGGATTTTTAGGTATTTATCGGTCGGGGAGCGTTATTGCAGCGTCGTCACGGGTGACCCATCCTTCTCCGTTCTCCTTTCCTTTGGGTTTTCTTGGGTGCGGTATTTTTGGTTTCTTTTTTTTTTTTTTTTCTTCTTTTTTTCTTTTTTTAAATAAAGCTCCATGAAGGCCTGAAGGCCCCGCTCGCCCCGCGTCCCCCAGCGGGACCGGGACCGAGCTCCAGCGCGTTTTTTTTTTTGTTTTTTTTTTTTTTTTTGGAAGATCTGGGTTCGGGCACTGCCTCGGCAGCAACCCGCTGACACCTTCCTCCCCTCCCTTCCCCGAGCAGGGACATCATCCCCGGCTGCTTATTGCTTCCCATACTGGCCTGGAGGGGATTTACATCTCTTTGGCTTGGCTTGGGCGCAGCGATCCGGTCTTTCCTTCCCAGCATCTCCTCGCCACCGAGCGGCACGGCGGCGCAAAGGGAAGGGGCCGGGAGGGGAGAAAACCAAAATTTACCCCGAGGCACTGAGGAAAAAACGGGGGCTGGCCAAGCGAGCTGTGCTCCTCCGAGGCGAACCAGGACTTTGTGCTCTGCACAAACCATTCCCAAAGGCAAAAGGCTGCCGGGGACTTGGGGGGGGACACACACACACAGCAGCCAGTCCCGGCCTCTCCGCGCTCAGACGACAAACTCCGGGACCTCGTCGTGGGTCAGGTCCAGCGAGAAGTATTTGCTGGTTCGTTTGACGGGGAAGCCCTCCTGGATGTTGAGGCACTGCTGGGCCAGGCAGCCGTGGCAGTAGAGGCCGTCCTCGGCCAAGCCGTGGGCGCAGCCGAAGGTGTAGCTCTGCGCCGTGTCCTGGCACAGGTCGGCCAGCTGCAAGAAGTCCTTCTGGTAGAGCCTGATGTCGTCCAGGCTCAGGCTGTGCCGGTCCGTCGAGGTTTTGGGTTTCCTGCACGCCGTCTGGGTGAAAGAAAGGGCGTCAGGAGCCGGGGTCCCTGGGGAAAGGGAGACCCGAACCTCTCCGGGAGAGGGGCCGCGGGGTGAGGAGTGCCGCGGGTGGCACCTACCTGGGGTAAGGAGTCCGTGCTCTGCCCCCGCAGCTTCACCACCGTCTCCGAGGAGCTGGAGGTGGAGGAGCTGAGCTCCTTTACGATCAGCCTGCGCCGGGGGGAGAGAGGAAGAGGAGGGTGTGAAGGTTATCTCATGCAGTGCGGCTCCCTTGGGGTGCCCACCCCATTGCGCTGGGATAGAAGGCACCCCCAGCTGGATGGCACCCCCAGATGGGTGGCACCCCCAGATGGGTGGCACCCCCAGGGCTCTGCACCCACAGAGCATCCCAAATCGGCACCAAAACGGCCCCCAAAGCCGAAATTATTCCCAACGACCACATTTGGCTCCGGCCAGGGCACCTCCGCCCTCGTTCCCGGCGTCCCCACAAGCCTCCTGCCACCCCCTGCTCGCTGTCCCAGGGGCTTGCTGCTCGGGTTTGTGCTTCCTTTCCTTGTGCACCCCCAAAAAAAAACTTAAAGCAAACCCTCCTCTGAGAAAACCCCACACCTTTTTGGGGCTTTTCACATTTTCACCCGGCTGCACGTGCCCCATCCTCCCCTCCACCCACCGGGCACCCGAAAATTCCCAAGGGGACTCTCGGGCTCGTTTTGCTTTATCCCACACCGAGACAAACGTGGAAGAGGAAAGGCCGGGGAGGAGGGGAGCAGCTGGTGTTACCTGAGTGCCCGTTGAATTTCCGTGACAGCAGCATGTCCTCGGTGATGTAGACGCACATCTCGGGGCTCACCTCCAGCGCCAGCTCCCCCGCCTGCTCCAGCTCCCGGGGGTCGTCCACCAGCATCTCCGATCTCTGCTGGGGCAAGGGGGGGGATTTATGGGGACGGCTGAGTGAGGAGAAGCACCCCAAGAGCCCTCGGGGGGGGGAGACGAGGTCCTGGGTCTCTCACCCTCATCCTGGGAGTCCTCCTCCAGCCGGTCCTTGCCCCCGCTCTCCACGCCGGAGGTGTGGGAGCTGCCGTGGCTGGTCATGGAGCTGCAGTCTTGAGTTTGCGGTGGACGCCGGGCTCCTCGGGCCCCGTTTCGCGGGGTTTGGGGTCGGTCTCGATGCCCGAGGTGTGGGAGCTGCTGTGGCTGGCCGTGGAGTGCCGCGACAGGCGTTGTGCCGGAGGCTGCCGGCGCTGCTGCCGCTGGCCCGCGAGCGCTTCTCCAGCTGCTCCATGTCCAGGTCCAAGGTGTCGCTGATGTAGGACTCGCGGTACTGCTTCTTCTCTGCCGGGGTGGTACGCGGCACCCTGAGCCCCCCACGGCAACCCCAAGCCACCCACAGGGTGCCAAACCCGCCTGGGGGTGGCACCCAGGGGTTTGGGTGGGCTCAGCTTTTTTTTGTCCCTCTTTTTTGGGGTGCAGAGGGTTGGGGGGGGCCCTTTGGGGCCCGCCGCAAGCAACCAGCCAGGGGTGGGGCTGCCACGGGGGGGGCTGCCCAAACCCCAGCGCGCCCAGTGCGCCCAGTGCGCCCAGTGCGCACAGTGCCGGCGCTCCCAGTTGCCCGCAAGCCCCGGTGGCTGCGCTCCCAGCGCCTCCCAGTGCCTCCCAGTGCCTCCCAGTGCCTCCCCAGCCCTCGGAGGTACCTGCAGGCGGCTGGAGCTGCCCCGGCTCGCCGGGGGGAGGACAGACGGATGGATGGAGGGATGGATGGAGGGATGGATGGAAGGATGGAGGGAGGGATGGAGGCAGCAGGAGGGGTGGTCAGCAGCAGCCCGGAGCGCCGAGTCCCCACCCAGCTTTGTCTGCGCTCATCCCTCTGCCTACAGGAAGCGGCTCGGCCCCGACTTCCTCCTCCTCCTCCTCCTCCTCCTCCTCCTCCTCCTCCTGCTGCTGCTGCTCTCCCTCCCCTCCCCGCCCCTCCGACCCCCCGTTCGCTGCGCATCGCTTTTCTGCAAGACCCCGCTGCGCCCCAGCCTCCCCTTCCCTCCCTACCCCTCCCTCCCCTCTCCTCCCTTCCCCTCCCTCCTGCCCTGCCCTGCCCCACAACCCCCCCCCTCCGCCCCACACCGACCCCACAACCCCCCCCTCCTGCGCCCTGCACCCCCATCACGCCCCCCATCGCCTCCTGCACCCATCCCACCCCTGCACCCATCACATCCCCCGGCACCCCCAATCCAACCCCCCCAGACCCTCAGCGCTCCCCATTTTGTATTTCCTTTTTCAGCTCTTTAAACCCAAACGCCCAGATTTTAAGATTAGGATTTTTATTTATTTATTTTTTTTAGGATTTTAGCAGCTGGCGAGCACCATCGGGGTTTTTATAAAACCTTTTTCTTTCCCCCACCCCACCCCAAAACAAGCGCTGATGTCCCAACTGCAGGTCCCTGGCTGACCCCACAGATCTGTTTGGGATCCCGAGGAGATCCCGGGCATGCAGCAGGATCACAGATCCCACAGGAGACACGGGGGCGAGGTGCCGGGGGGGTGCTCCCAGTGGCACTGGGCACCCAGTGGCACTGGGTTGATTTAGGGGATGCCTTTGGCAGCCCCCTGGCAGAGGCCGGTGCCATTTGGGGTACCGCAGCTCTCCCAGCCCCACAATGGGATCTGTGGGTCCGTGAGCGTCTTGTGTCCCCCCCGAAAAACCGGGGGCCCCCAGTGGCCTCCCCGTGCTCCGAGCGCGTTTCCTGCAAGGGAGGCGATGGGCTGCGAGAAAATGGGTTTTCCCCCCGTTTCCACAGCAACGCCGATGACTGATTTCCGAGGCTGCCCTGCAAGCACCGCACGGCACCCGCTCAGCCAGCACCCGCACCCCAAAAGGCCTGGATCTGACCCCCCAGGGGAACACCCAGCACCAAAACCCCACACCGAGCGGGGGGCGCGGGGCTTTTTGCCCTTTGCAGGGCGTTTTGCGCCGGGCTGTCTCCTTAAATCAACACGGTTCACCTCCAAAGCGCTTCTCCTCTTGGTATTTGATTTTTTTTCCCCTTAAATCCAGTTTTCCCAGTTTTTTTTTTTTTGGCTTTTGAGCGTAACCAGTTCCACGTCGCCCCGTTGCGCGGTGCTCCTGGCACAGCAGCGATGGCAGGGGGTGCGAAGCCTGGAGGAGAAGCAGCTCCTGGAGATGAAACTCCAACCTCGCAGCGAAAGCTCGAACCTGTGAAATTGGAAAGCTGGCGGCTGCCGGCACCGGGGGCACGAGGGCGGCCCAAAAAAGAGCTTGGAGAGGGATGGGAGCTGGAGGAGCCCTTCCCCTGGAGCTCCCCCCATGGGGACAAAGCCCCCTGCATGGGGACAAAGCCCCCAGATGCCTTCGGGTGGCACAGGATCCGTGGAAAAGCGCTCGCCGGGCGCAGCCTGCAGGAGGGGAGAGAGCTGGCTCTGCCCCAGCCGTGGGGCTGCCGCCCGCTGCGCTGCCAAAATAAAAAGGATTCGACATCTGGTTCGAGGAAAAATGTCGGTTTTTATAGGCCGGCGATGGAATCTGGAGGCTATACTTAGCAGCACGCAACGCCGACCCCTCCAAAAATGTCATGCACTGCGTCGTGCTCGTCCCTCCTGCACGAGGCTGCTCCGAAAATGCAGCAGGGAACCACGGAAAGCCCACAGGGACCGGTGCCCACCCGCTGCCTCCTCTGGGCACGTTCCCACCAAGGCCAAGGGTTATTTCTGGGGACAAAGGGGGTCCCTGGTACACACAGGGCTCCCCACGCAGGATGGGGCCGGGGACGCGGCCACAGGATGGCAGCAAATGCCACCGCTTGGCTGGCAGCAGCGGGCAGGGGACAGGGCAGGGGGACAGAGCTGGGGACCCCCCCCCAGCCTCTTTTGCCCTCTGCCTTCCATCCCTTCTTCGATCCTCAAATCGCCACGAGCCAAGGGGATGCAAACAAGGGGCACTTTTATTGTCACCTCCGGCCGCACCGCACGAGGCGCCCGACAAACCTCTTCGTTACACAGAGCACACGGCGCTGGGGTTTTGGGGCCGTTTTACTCGGGTTTGGCTTTCGCCACACCGTCACTCCGCTCTCACCTCGCCCTGCCAGGAGGCTCCTTTCACAGAAAGGACCACGCAGCTCGTGCACGCGGCCACCTCGGTGTTGCCGAGGGACCAGCACCAACCTCAGAAGGCCACCGACAACCCCATAACGCCCCATCCCACCCCACACAGCGGTCCCGGACCCGTGCGGCACCCTCTGCACCCCACAGCCCCCGGGCACATGTGGGCCTCTCACCCCGCACCACTGCCAGCGACCCTGCTTGGTGCTTGGTTTTGGGTTTTGGGAGCTGCTCTGGTTCAGTTTTGGCTGTGGGATGCAGTGGGGAAAGGGACAGTGAGGCCTCGAGCTTGCCACTATCCCCCCCCCATGCTCCTTCATCACGAATTTGCGCATTTCGTGCCCAAACGGCGCATGCTGCAGCCTCGCAGGGAAGGGGAAGAGGCCTGGGATGAATTTGGGGGATTTCCCGACCCCCTCAGCACACCGTAACCCACCCAGGGACGGTGGCTGCCTGTAGCAAACCCCAGCCCAGGATGCGGTGTCACAGCCATCCCTCGGCCTTTTGGGGTCCCCAAAAACCGACGCAGGGCCCTGAGCCCCCACGCAGCATCCCACCGCTGCCTTGGGTGGGTTTTGGGGGGATTTCCACGGGGTCCCCAGCCTCCTGCTGGCGTCCCTACATCATTTTCCCATAACACACATCAGTCCCACCGTGCCCACCCCTCCCACCCAGCAATAACCCCGAATTTTTGGCACTGTGCCGACAGCTCCGCTCCGCTTTTTTTTTTGGTACCGATCCCCCCCCCCAAAATCTGAACATTTCTTAGAAAAATAAGATTGTGCTTATTTATAAAATATTCTTTTTTTTTTTTTTTTTTTTTAAGAAAAGTTTCCAGTTTTAAAAAAAAAAAAAAGGCGGTAATATCAAAACAGGGTAAAACTTTGGCTGTCGACGGCTAAACCCTCGTTGTGCCGCGAGGACGCGCTGCCCCGGCGCTTTCCCCTCCTTGCACCTTCCCGGGGATGCTCTCCAAAAAAAAAAAAAAACGAGGTGCCTTTTCCCAGCACGTGGCCACCGTCCTTTGGCAGAGCCGTTCGAAGCGTAAAAGCCTGAAGGGCGCAGGGAAAGCCGTGTTCAATCGGAGCTTTCTCCTGGCTAGGAAAGTCTCTGCCCCCCCTGCAGCCATCTCACCATCCCCAGCAGGAGCAGAGCCCCCGCTTTCCCTTCTCCCCATCCATTTGGGATGCGGGGCTGCTCCTGCACCGTGGAGGACCTGTCCTGGGGGTGTTCCAACCACACCTTGCAGACAGAAAATTAAAAAAACGCACGTGGAAGGTGTGACCCCTGGAAGTGGCCAGGCAGTCAGTTTGGGGAAGGATAAGCACAAAAGTGCCCTTCCCAGCACAGCACCATGTGCTGCATCCCGCACCCAGGCACCACGGCGCGGGATGTGGCATCTCCCTCTGCCTTTCCTCCCCTCCTAGCTCCCGGCACCCGCTGCACTGTGAGAAGCCAGAGAGGGAGAAAGCAAGGAAAGGGGTTGAAAAGGAAGAAAAATTAAAAATGCACCCCGGTCCCTTTGCTTGTTTCTCCCGCTTTGGCATGCTGTGAACGCACGCGGCCCTGGGCACAGCTAAGGACCGGAACACTCAGATCATTCACGCTGAGCACCGACACCACTCGTGCCAAAAATGAGGCTTTTCCCAGGGCGATCCCCTATCCCCGACCCAAAAGAGGTTATGGGATGGCAAGGTGGCCAGCAAACAGCACGGCACGAGCGGGACGGTCCCAATCCCCCTGGAGCTGGTGCGGGACCGGGCGGTGTGGCCACCCCGCAGCCCCCCGGGCAGCGTTTTTGGGGGCTGCAGGGCTCGGCGCTGGCTCGCAGCCCCAATTGCTATGGAAACAGCATGCGCCGGCGCTGCTTCCCTCCTCCCATGACTCACGGGTTTTCAAAAGGAGAAGTGGTGCCTCGGCCGCCGCTGTTTTGAGGCCAAAACAGCCAAAGCCGTGCGGGCGCGCTCACGGGGCTGGGTGGGGAGGCACCGCCTCGCCGTGCAAGGCGTTTTCGCCAAGCTCCCGGCTGCTCCCGTGCTGAGTGGCGAAAAAGCTGTGTGTTTTGGGCTTAGAATAATAATTACAATAGTAGTAGGGCTCCTCTGGTGGCACACGCCCCGCTACCTGCCGGGAATCACATCGTGTGCCCCGCTGCCGCCACCCGTCCCCGATGTGGCTGAGCGCTGCGCGCACCCAGAACCATCCTCTGGGGTTTGTGTGGGTGC